CTAGTGTAAATAAATGCCTCTGTGTTTTCAACTCCATTCCTACACCTGAATTCTGGCTCTTTACTTGCCAAGTTAAGAATAAATTTTGACTTGCATCATTTTTTACTTATAAACATCTTTCTTCCCCAGTTTGAATATAGCCTGTGTTCTGCCTCAATTGAAGAAATAAGTTTGTTGGTTTTCCTGAGGCTATTGGTGAGACAGGTTCCTTATTGCATAGTATTTGACAAACTAAAAAGTATTTTCATTTCTAGGCAGCTTGTATTTTTTACCATCAACACCTCCAGGGGATAGGATACAGGCTTTTAAGAGAAGGAAATATCATTGTTAAATGACTAAATCAGAACTAAATATGGTAGCAAAAGGGATTAGATTAAATGAGATCATTTAATGCCAAAAGGCCCGACACATAATGTTTAATATGAGTTCATTTAACTGAGTTTGGAGATTCATATTAATAATTTCTCTGTAGTGCTTATGAGCATGGACTTTAGAGCTAGATGCAGTGTTTAAAAAAAAAAAAAGGTCCTACTTAACAACTTCCAAGCTAGGCAAGTTACTCATTTCCTTAGGTCATAGTTTCCTCATGGAAATGCAATGAGGTTGACAGTACTATGGTTGTACTTTATAGTAGCACTTTAAAGGGCCGCTAAGCTTAAATGAGATGATATATTGAAACATGATGTCTGGTACATAGTAAGTGTTCAGTAAATGTAAAACAGTAAAGTTTAAAAGCGGAAAACACCCATAGGAAGCTTATAGACCAGACAAATTCTCTGACATGTAGTAAATGGCCTCATCACAGATGTTCCATTCAAACTTCAATTAGATGGGAGTTAGCAGCTGGGAACCAGTTGTTTAACCTGAGCCCATTTTCTTTTTTTAAACTATTTTATTTTTTTATAAAATGGAGTTCATGTGTTCAACATTTGTTTTCATTTCATTCATCCACTGGATGGGGATTAACTGGTATAATGTATGTGAAGGTATTCTACAAATGTAAGATCAATACATGAAGTGAATGGTAATGTATTAATGTGTATACATACTGGTGCCATATCTGGTATTTCTGCATTGTACCTCAAGACACTGGGAAAGTGTTTGTTCCTACACACATATCTACTCACAGATTCTAGGTGACTGAGGATAGTGATGGTGTTTTTCTTACTTATAGTCTGTCTTCAATATTTATCTAGTTGGTATGTCAAATTTGGCTTTTGAACCATGCTTTTTTCCTTCAGGATGGAGGTCACTTGTGGAGAAGAGTATTATAGGAAAAGTTTGTTAGATTATCCAATTCATGGAGATGATCTGAACACAGTATGTTTTTGGGAAAAATGAATAGATTGTTTAGAATAATTGCGCAACATGGTTATGATATATACTAAATATTTATGCCCTTTTCTGCAAGAGTTCATTTTAAAAATAAGGTAATTTTGACTAGATAACATTTGTTTACATAAAATGCCATTTTCCATGATAGATTGTTATATTTGGAGAAGCCTAAGGAGTAAATTCTTCCTTCCCTCAGTACCCTTTGCAGTAATTGGCACATGACCATTTGAGGCATGGATGGGACAGTCTGTGGGTCTCTAGCACCAGGGTTAAGCTCTTTTTGAATGGAGCCATATTAGCATGGAAATGTTGCCACACCAACATTTAAAGGCCTACTTTAGCATCTTAAGGTATCTGAAGTGATAACTACTTTCAGTAGGAAAAGGAGGAACAAAAGTAGGAAAATTGGGACTGCATGAGTTCTACAGAGCATATTGGAGTCACATAATGAAAAAGCAGATTTTTTTTATTATGATGTTTCTCCATATTTGGCATTGCTATAAATGGCTAACTAACATTTACTGCCAATTCAGTACAAATGTGTGGTTTGGTAATACCAGAACAGCAATTTAAATGAAAAATAAAAGTTAAACATTTCCACACAAGATTTTACAGTCTGACATTTCACTGTGTAGGTAAAAAGACATTTTTTTTTTTTTTACTAGAGATTATTATTCAGCAGAATAAAAAACTACAACTTTTATTTTTAAACAGGAGTCACTGGTTTTAATTTTTACACATTTTAAAATTACTGTGATAAAAAATAATGAAAAAGCTTTTTAATAATGCCGTACACAGTATAATATAGATTTATCCCCATTATATAGCATTTGTTTAATATACAAAATAGAATATTGACACACTTGAATCTATATGTAGTAAAGCATATTATTCGCGGAGGGTATTTTCATACAGCCTTCCATCAGAAAACAACACCCTTCTTTCAGGCATTTCCTAGAGAGAAGCCAATCCTTCCCCAAAGAAACCTGGTCACTAATCCTTGGTGGACCAGGCTGACTGATAATAGTCTGGAAAATGAAACTTCCACTCAAAGTGGTTAAAGTGTCCTTCTTACACTCGTATTTTCCATTTCAACTCTCAAACCAGGCACATAAAAACACATTCATCTATAGCTACAGTCTTCTGAATAACCAACCAAGACTGAAATCTAGTGAGGGCTGCCATGATTAACTTTTGACAGATCAGAGTACAATAATATTGTTCATTCCACGGAGATGTAGTTTTGGGGTGTTTAATGGAATTAAAATGATAAGACTTGATGATAGTAGGTTGTCTAGAATAGTAAAATTGGAATTGCTTTTCCCTCCCACCAGTTCTGAAGTGACATTGGCTTTCCTTTATATATATGCACATCCAGAATGAACCCTATGCTAGTTATAATTACCAAGCTCTTCCAAGACCCTACCATGATGTTAGTTTTCCTTCTGGGGCGCTCTTTTGGATAGTCTAAGAGAATTGGGTCTATATACCCCCAAAGCACTTGCATCCCACAGCAAGGCCTAAAAACACCAAGAGGGTCACTTTTTTCCCACCAGTAATTAAGCCACCTAGGCCTGTCACCAGCTCTCACTAACGTTACTACAAACTTAAATAGTTTGGGATGGCAAGATACCACATACATAGAAAATGAAGCTACTTTCAAATAGCACCATCTTTTTTCACTTAAATCCATAATTATACTCAGAGGAACAACATAATAACTTTCTTCTTTCCCACATACTAAAAAAAAGGGCACAGCTTCTTTTTCCATCTAATGTACAGTCTCCTATAGTTTGTTGTTAAATCATTCTTTTTAACAACAAAGTGCACATAACTTTTGTTCACTTACCTCTCTTTTTTATTAAGAGCTGAGAATGTTGGGACTAAAATATGATTAATGTGTGATATGCTTTCTGGTTTTAACCATATAACATTCTATAAATGAATAATAATTACCCTTCAGAAATTCTTTTTGAAATTTAACACTGTCATTGATGATAATATTCAAGCGGTATTTCTTAGGCACCAAACATTTCACATCCATCTGGATTACAAACCATTTTAAAATACTTTGAGATCAATCAACAATAACCAAAGGAACATTCCCTTTTAGGTAGCATTCAAAAAGCAAATTACTACACTTTTTATTAAATAATTTTTCCAAAATACTGAAAAATAAAAAATAACATTCAAAAAGCATTTAAAGAAAACACAAACATGTCCTCACTTTGTTTGGAAATGAATTCTTGTAGGATAGAAAGGAATTAGTGTACTATTGGCAACCTATGATATTCTGCACTATTTACATATTGCTGGTACCTCTATGCATATTATTGCCAGACTTCTAAAGCCTCTGTTTTTATTAAACTGTTGGAGAGCCTGTATGTGAAAATAACCACGATATTAGATGGTGCCTGTCCCTGTGTAAGTACCACCTTTCTGTCTCCTCTTACACACTTTAGCACAAGGGGAGATTTAGTCAACTAAACCTGTGCTGCCAGACTCATCGTTGGAATAAGGGTGGTCATTCTGGGAGGCAGAGGATACTTCCTCTGTGATCTGAGTGGGATGGAGCCTCAGCCACCTTCACTGCACACAGGGCCAGTCTCCATCTCCCTCTTCCCCTAGAGCAAACCTGTTTGGTTTTTGAGACCATTGCTGCCTGTATGAATGCTTGCACTCGCTATAAATCATATCGGTTATCCATCGACATTTGACCCCTACAAAAAATATATAGCATGTTGTGATAAAACAGTCTCATCTAAAAATCATTCTTATTTTACACTATACAAACTATTTTACAATCATTTAAGTAAATTGCATGTAAAGCTGCAGTAGCCCTTCCCTTCCCAGATTAGTGAATACCAATATGATATATATCTGAAACTATAACTAAATATAAAAATATATTAGAAGTTTCATATTTTTAATATTAGATATTCAGTTTTCTATTACACAAATAATTTGGCCACCTTGAATAGAAATCAGATTTCTGTGGCTTAGTAAATGAGTTTTGAGTTTACAGAAACTTGGTAAGGTGCACACAGAAAGGGCTACTACAGCTTCTATTTTGTTTAAAATGATAATTCTCAACAGTGAGGAGGAAAGATTCACAAGACTTTTGTTAAACTCTATGGCACACATAGGGACGGGAGGGATGTGTAGTTTTACAAACATGGAAGTCTGACATACAGTTCTAAATCACAGAAATCAGTAGCTAAGCTTTCCTGTACCACCAGGAAAGTTAGACCAATTGGTGACAGATGGGAATGTGAAAATGGGTGTCTAGCCACTTCTGCCATATTAGAGATTTATCTTTTTGGGTAAAGTTTAGTGAGAGGGATTACTTGGTCTGATTAAAATCTCTCAGCTTTGTTTCAGCTGATTATATGGAATCATAACTTTAAGTTATACAAACTATAACAAAAGGTCCTGAAAGACAGTATCTTAACCTTCACTCCATCTGACCATTGCAGGGGTAGGGCATTAGGTACAAACAGGGCCTCTTGATAGGTTTTGTTTTTTTTAATCTTTTGCCACCATCATCCACAGTTTACCCAGCAGGTCACAGGAGTAGGTGCTCTTACACCAGTTAGGACGGTTGATTTGCACAACCTATATAATTCTCCACTGAAGCAGATATATACAAAATATGAGCTTTTTTGGACCAGAATACTGGAGATTTGAGTCAATTTTTATGGTCTTCTGATAGCTAAGTGCCATCAGGTTAGAAGCACCAACCCATTTTCACACAGAATATTAATGTTTAGAGTTTATTTAGGAAAGCTATGAACTAGTTGCCCATCTTAAACAGCTGTACAATAACTTGAATACAAAATTATGTAAGAAAAAAATGAGTAAGCGTAGTTCACTGAATATAAAGGAAATTGTTAAAACCAGACAGTAATAGCTATAAAAGGCACAACTTCCCTTTTCTGATATACACTTGTAAACTGTTTTCAGGTTTCCATGCATAAATCAAAAAATGTTATCCTAACTATACAGGGGAAAATACACCCAACAAAAAGTCTAGAAAATTTTGTCCAGCCAACTGTGAAAAATATGAGCAGAAAGTTTATTACACAGAGTTTGGGCACTGGTAGTTTGGGTGCCATCTTTCTCTGACAGTGAAAATTACCCCACACCATTGTTTCTAATTTGCAGGATCCACCAATTCTCACTTTCTACTTTTCCCATCGCTGAAAAACGATGGCTCAACTGCTTCTGTCGCCAAGTCTTGGCCCTCTATAAACCACATGTAGTGCGTATTTAAAACAAAAACAAAAACCAGACATAAACGAAAAAGAAGAAGAAAACAAAAACAACAAAACTGCTATAGGATAAGTTGATAGTTTATACAATAAAAGCTATAAAGTCAACTTTCTTTAAGGCAACCTTTCTTATTAAGGCAGTCACTTTTGATGAAACATAAGTTTTTTTACATTTCCAGTCGAAAATTTTGGTAACTGATTGGTGATGATTTCAGCTAACATCTCTGGGAATTCAATACTCATGCTCTTATCCAAAAATGTTTGGAAGCAAAAGTGAAGGAGATTTTCAGCTACCTACAAGAGAAGATACAGTGATGATTAGTCTTAAAAACCTATAGTAGGAACATCTCATGCTTGTTGGCCTCTACTTTTTAAATAACCTACACAGAATACTCCAATCTCTACTGGAATTCCCCAAGTTAAAAAAAAAAAAAAAAAGTTTAGCCCTGGCCAGTTTGGCTCAGCGGTTAGAGTGTCGGCCTGCGGTCCGGAGAGACCCGGGTTCGGTTCCCGCTAAGGGCACGTACCTCGGTTGCAGTTTGTCCCCAGCCCTGGTTGGTCGTGCGGGTGGCAGCCACTTGATGTGTCCCTTCACGTCGATGTTTCTCTCTCTCTCTCCTTCCTCTCTCTCTCTCCCACTCTATCTGTACAAAAAATGGAAAATATCCTCGGGTGAGGATAAAAAAAAAAAAAAGTTTAATTAAATGAGCACTCAGGTACCAAAGACATCTTGAATCCCTTAAATTGTATATAGAATTATATGGAATTAAGTGTTTCATGATGAACTGCAATACTATGATGCATGAAAGACATCCAGATTTAATGGATTAATCATGCAGAACCAGGGAATTCCATTTTTTAAAAAACAGTGCTATTAAATTCTGTACTAGCATCATGATGTTATATGCACATGACTAGATGAAATGGAATTCCATAACTGGCCTCAGGAAAACTGTGTGCTGAACTGAAGCCACAGCTTGAACTCAAACCATCATCAATAACCACAAATGGGAAAAAAATATTGGTGTATAATTATACACACTAATTAGAACATACTAATTAGAACATACTTCATATCCCAGATAACTCTTCTGAAATTTGGATTTGTGTTTGACACTTACCTCATGCATGGAGTCCAAGAGTTTTGTCAGTTGATAAAACCGCTGCCAGTTCTGACTGGAGTTTCCTTCCCTCTTGACAATGGCTTTCCCTAGCTCTTTGATGTAGGTCATTCTAATTTCATCAAATAGCTCTTGGCTCTTCAAACCTTCGTGAGGAACTAAAAGATTAAGATGTAGTCAATTAAATAATTTTCATGTATGCAAGTAGGGCATTTAATTATTGATAGCATATTTCATGACTTAACATTGTCTATATGCTTTTAATGCACTCTATTAAAACATAAGCATTTCCAAGGATCATGAAACTACAGCAAAGAGAATATGCGCTATCAGGAAATTAGAGGACTTAACCCTAGGTAAATTACTTTGTTTCTCATTGTAAAAAGCAGCTGATGATGATACCTTCCTCTCTAGTTCACAAAGTTGGCTTAAAGACCAAGTAAATAGCCCTGGCCGGTTTGGCTCAGCGGTTAGAGCGTCGGCCTGCGGTCCTGAGAGACCCGGGTTCGGTTTCCGCTAAGGGCGCATACCTCGGTTGCAGTTTGTCCCCGGCCCTGGTTGGTCGTGCGGGTGGCAGCCACTCGATGTGTTCCTTTCACGTCGATGTTTCTCTCTCTCTCTCTGTTCCTCTCTCTCCCTCCCACTCTACCTGAACAAAAAATGGAAAAATGTCCTCGGGTGAGGATTAAAAAAAAGACCAAGTAAATAAAACAGTGACTGCCGTTCTGCACTTCAGAGTAGTTCTAGTACAGACATACAGAAAGCTTCAACAGTGTTTATACCACTAATTACATCTTAGAATATATGTGATATTGCCACCAGTCAATTAGAACCTTAAAGTCAGCTTGTAATACATTTTATTAATCAATGTATTATAACAGAGTTAATATGACTCCAATCTAAAAAGAAACCTGATTTTTTTTTAAAAAAAAAATGATTTTTCTTTATTGATTTTAGAGAGAGAGGAAGGGAGAGGGAGAGATGGAAACATCCATAAAACATTGACTGTTCACCTCCTGCATGCCCCCGACTGGAGATCAGGCCTACAACCCGGGTATGTGCCCCAACCAGGAATCGAACCAGTGACCTCCTGGGGCATGACTCAACAACCACTGAGCCACACTGGCAGGGCTGAAACCTGATTTTTTTTTTTAAATGTAGCCTATATATTTACCTCCTGGGATGAAAATATTCGCCTGCCTTATGTACTCAGAAATACAGAAAATACCTCATGAATTGTGGATCATAAAATTGGTGTAAAATCAGCTTTTTAATACTATTCAAAAACTGATACTAGTAAAGACTGTGAACAGATAGCGTGCTACATGTCTCAAAGTGTATTTCTAGAAACTCTGGTTTTGTGTTAATGGCTAGGGAAAAGAGGATTTGATGGTCCAAATTTAAGCAAAGCTAAATGTTTAATACAAAGTGAGGCAAATTTCTGAATTTCAGATCTTCTCGGAGTTATAATTATGGAATCTCCAGAGAGGGGAAACACTGTTTCCCAAATTTCACCACTGCTGACATCTTAGGAAATGCTGACTTAGAGGAAAAGCAGTGGATTTAGGAGCAAAAGGTCTTAATTTAATTCTTACTTGCCCTGTGGACTGTTTCAGGCTCTTACTCACTAAATTAATTAAACAATTTTTTAAAAATTTAGATATTGGCATAAGACATCATGTAAGACTCAGGCATATAGCATGATTACATATTTGTGTATACTGCAGAACAATCACTACAGTAAGTCTAGTTAGCATCTGTCCCCATGCATTGTTAGAAAAGTTTCTTGTGATGACAATTTTTGACTGTCTTAGCAACTTTCAAATATACAGTGCACTATTATTAACTACAGTTACCATGCTGTACATTATAGCCCCAGGACTTATATTTATAGCTGGAAGTTTGTACTTTTTAACCCACTTCACCAATTTTCCACACCCTTTGCCTCTGGCATCCACCAATTTGTTCTCTGTATCCATGAGCTTGTTTTTATTGTTCGTCTTTAAGATTCCATGTATAAGGGAGATCATATGGTGTTTTGTCATTTTCTGACTGAATTCTTTCACTTAGTGTAATGCCTCTAGGGTCCATTCATCTTGTCACAAATGGCAAAATTTCATCCTTTTTTATGGCTGAATAATATTCCATTGAATATAAATATCTCTCTCACATTTTCTTTATCCATTGATAGACACTTAGCTTGATTCCATGGCTTGGCTACTGTAAATGATTTGGCAGTGAACACAGGGGTGCACATATCTTTTCATGTTAGTGTTTTCATTTTCTTTGGACAAATACCCAGAAGTAGAATTGCTGAATCATATGGTAGTTCTATTTTTAATTTGTTGAGGAACCTCCATACTGTTTTTCATAGTGGCTGTACCAGTTTATATTCCCACCAACAATGCAAGAGGGTTCCCTTTTTTCCACTTCCTCACCAGTCCTTGTTACTGTCTTTCTGATGATAGCTGTTCTAACAGGTGTGAGGTGATATCTCTTATCTCATTGTGGTTTTGATTTGCATTTCCCTGACGACTAATTATGTTGAGCACCTTTCTATGTACTTGTTGGCCATCTGTATGTCCTTTGGAAAAATGTCTATTCAGATCCTCTGCCCATTTTTTAATTTGATTGTTTTCTGGCTATTGAGTTATATGAGTTCTTTATGTATTTTGGATATTAACTAACCCCTTATCAGATACATGGTTGCAAATATCTCCCATTTGGTACATTGCCTTTTGTCTTCTTTATGGTTTCCTTTGCTGTGCAGAAGCTTTTTAGTTTTATGTAGTCCCACTTGCTTATTTTTGCTTTTGGTGTTAGATACAAAAAATCATCACCAAGATGGATGTTAAGGAGCTTACCACCTATGTTCCCTTTTAGGAGTTTTCATTTTAGGTCTTACGTCTTTGATTTTTTTTTTTTTTTTGGTTAATCCTCACCGGAGGATCTTTTCCACTGAATTTTAGATAGAATGAGGGTGGGGGGCAAAGAGAAAGAAAGAGAAATATCCCAGGACCGGAGATCAAACCTGCAATCCAGGTATTTGCCTTTGGCCAGGGATCAAACCCGTGACCCTTTGGTTCACAGGCTGACACTCTAACTTCTGAGCCAAACTGGCCAGGGCAAGTCTTTGATTCATTTTAAGTTAATATTTGTGTGTAGTATAAGATAGTGGTCCAGTTTCATTCTTTTGTGTGTGGCTGTTAAGTTTTCCCAATACCATTTATTGAAGAGACTCTTCCCAATACCATTTATTGAAGAGACTCTTGGCTCTTTTGTCATAAAATAACATTTTAATAATATTCTTCCAGTGCACAAGCACAAAATATCCTTCCACCTGCATCTTCTTCAATTTGTTGCATCAATGTCTTATAGTTTTCAGTGTATAGGTGTTTTACCTTGTTGGTTAAATTTACTTCTAGGTATCTTATTCTTTTGATGCAATTGTAAATGGAATTTACAATTCCGAATTTCACTTTCTACTAGTTTGTTATTACTGTGTAGGAATGTAACAGATTTTTGTTTATTGATTTTGCATCCTTGATACTCAGTTCCAGTAATTTTTTGGTGGAGTCTTTAGGGTTTTCTATACATAATATCATGTCATCTGCAAATAGTGAGTTTTACTTCCTCTTTTTCAATTCGGGTGCTGTTTTGTTGTTGTTGTTGTTTTTCTTAATTGCTGTGGCTAGAACTTCCAATACTACCTTGAGTAAAAGGCAAGGGTGGGCATCCTTGCCTTGTTCCTCATCTTACAGGAAAAGCTTTCAGTTTCTTACTACCGAGTATGTTGTTAACTGTGGGTTTTTATATGTGGCCTTTAACTGTCAAGGTATGTTCCCTCTATACCCACTTTATGGAGAGTTTTTAATCATAAATAGATGTTGAATTTTGTCAAATGCTTTTCTGCATCTATTGAATATCATGAGTTTAATCCTTTATTTTGTTAATGTGGAGTATCTCTCTCACTGGATTTCTATTAGGATTAGACCAAAGAACACATATGAAAATGTTTTGATTCCATAAAGCAGTAATTGGCACTTTTGAGATGTCAGTATTAATGCAAAAATGAAGGCCACTTAATCAGGAATGGTAAGAGCCTACCATATTAGTTTAGTATTAATTTTTTTTTTTTTATCCTCACCCGAGGACATTTTTTCATTTTTTTGTTTAGATAGAGTAGGAGGGGAATAGACAGAGAGAAACATCAACGTGAAAGGGACACATCGAGTGGTTACCACCCACACGACCCAACCAGGGCTGGGGACAGACTGCAACCGAGGTACATGCCCTTAGTGGACACCGAACCCGGGTCTCTCTGGACTGCAGGCCAACACTCTAACCGCTGAGCCAAACAGGCCAGGGCTGAAATGTTAATTTTATACATTATTTATATTACAGGTAATCTAACTATTGCTATTTTTTAAAATGGTGATTGCTTATTTATGTATTTTTTCCTGCTGGTTATTCTAATTCTAAAAATGAGAGAAGTCCTATTTGATATTTATATTTAAAATAATTTCATCCATCCCCAATTATCCTTTGTAGTTCCATGAATTTTTGCTTTATGTTGCTGGAGGCCGTATGTTTAGAAATATTTTTCCTGGTGAACGAATACTTTATGTACATAATGAGTATCTTTAAAGATAGAACTTTTTCTTTTTCTTTTTTGCCTATTTTGATAGTGACATAGCTGCTTCAGCTTTCTTTTGGTTAAAGCAGTGGTCAGCAAACTATGGCTCATGGCCCAATCCCACCTGCAGCCTGTGTTTGTAAATAATGTTTTATTGGAAGACAGCCTTGCCTGTTTTTATGCCACAAGGGTCAGAGTTGAGTAGCTATAATAGACTATATGCAAAGTCAAAAACACTTACCATCTGGCCCTTTACAGAAAGTTTGCCGTTACTGGGCTATACCATGCATAGTATATCCTTTTATTTCAGCCATTAAATATCTTTATTTAGATATATCTCTTGTGAAATTACTAATATGTTTGAATTTATTTGTACCACCTGTTACTTCCTCTTATGATGTTTTTGTCTACACTCCACCCCCCATTTCTTTCCTTCTTTTGGATTGTTTTTTTCTTACCATGTTATCTTCTGTTCCCACAATGGTTTGGTATGTTATATGCATAATTTCCAGTTGTCATCCTTAAAATTTAAACATTCTTAATTTATCAAACTCTCATTTTTGCTTACATGTAATTATTGTGTACTTTTTAAACCCCTGAAGGCATTACTATTATTTTATACAGTAAAGGTTAGTTTTAATTAGCTACCTATTTACTACTTGCTTTGTTCTTTTTATCTTCCTATCTTAAAGATAGGATTACTTCCCCTAAGTATATCTTGTAATATCACTTTAGTAAGGATCTGTGGCAGCAAACTTTGTGTTAGTCTTCATTAACAACAGCAGCAAAGACAATTGATATATTTAGACCATTTAAATTTAAAAGCAATTGTTTGGTATATTTGGCTCAATATCTGCCATGTTTGTAACTGTTATTTGCTCATTGCACTTACTGTTTTTAGTGGTTGCCCTAGAGTTTGCATATACATTGACAACTATAAGTTGCCCCTTAAACAATGTGGGGGTTGGGGGTGTGAACCTCCATGCAGTTGAAAATCCACGTATGACTTCTGACTCTACAGGTGGCCCTTTGTATTTGTGGATTCAACCAACTGCAGTTGGGAATGTGAAAATACTGTTTTTGATCTGTATTTGGTTGAATCTGAGTATGCGAAACCCATGGATGCAAAGGGCTCACTACTTAATTGGAAAAAAATCCATTTATAAATGGACTGGAGCAGTTCAAACTTGTATTGTTACAGGTCATCTGCAATCTAGTCTCCTTTCAAATACTATAGGTAGTGCACAGGTACCTTAAAACAGTATTCCTTCCTCCCATCCCTTTTAACATTGCTGTCACTCATTCAACTTGCCCATATGTTGTAATCATCTAATACACTGTTATTATTACTTTAAATAGTTATGTTAGATCAATTATGAAGAATAATAAAACTTTATCTTCATCTATTCCTTTTCTAATACTCTTCCTTTCTTTATGTAGATCCATGTTTCTGACCTGTATCATTTTCCTTTCAAGAACTTAACTTTTAACATTTTATTAAAGGCAGGTCTGCTGGTGACTAATTCTCTCAAGGTTTTGTTTGTCTGAGGTCTTTATTTTGCCTTCACTTTTGATGGGTAATTTCACTGGATACAGAATTCTAAATTGGTGATTTATTTTTATTTCAACACTAAATGTTTGATTCCACTTTCTTGCTGTATGGTTCCTGATGAGAAGTCTCATGTATTTCTTACCCTTGGTTCCATCATAGGTAAGCTGTTCTTTTCCCTCTCTGGCTACTTGTAAGATTTCTACTTTATTTTTGGTTTTCTGCAGTTTTGAGTAAAACAGACCTAGGTGTAGATTTTGGGGTATTTACCTTTCTGTCCTTAATTTTGGAAAATTATTAGCCATCATTACTTAAAATATTTCTTCCATTGCTTGCTTTCTTTTACTTCTGATATTCCCATTAGTTGTATGTTACACCTTTTGTTGTTGTGCCCACTGTTCCCCTTTTTTTTTTCTTTGCAATAGAGAGTTTGGTAAGTTTCTATTAACAGTCTTCAAAGCTCAATGATTCTTTCTTTGGTGTGTCTAGTATTCTAATGATTCAACAGCATTCTTCATTTCCATATTATAGTATTTTTAATTCTTAAAATTTCCACCTCTCTGCTGACAATATCTGTGTTCTTACATTTTGTTTACTTCTTCCATTACAGTCCTTGACATATTAATAATCAGGAATTTCAAATTCCCTGATAATTACAACATCTGTGCCATATCTACATTTTATTCTAATGCTCTTTCCCTTCAGGTTGTGTTTATTTCTTTGCTTTTAGCGTATCTTGCAATTTTTTGCAAAAAGCTGGAAATTATGTCAGAACTAAAGTAGACTTTTAAGTGTGAGATCCCTGGGCTGTGTCCTTTAGAAGTGTTTCTGAACTTTTTCTTCTCCCTTCTCTTAATGATACAGAAAGGTAGAGGTGGCTGGAATGATCTATTCCCCGGGTCAGATAAAGCTTTGTTACAGCATAAGGGCAGTTTTCTCAGGTCTTCACAATGAGAATCTGTTGGGGCTTCAGGACGTAAATTCCAAGAAAGTATGGGGAGACGAGCCCGCGCCAAGACTGGGTTCCAGAAGTTCTTAACTCTCAAGCTATTCCTTTTTGGGTCTGCAGAACTCATCAAAATTACCAAAAGTGTCCCTACCAGTTACTGGCTCCAGAAACTTCTGTTTCCAGTAAGCTGATCTTGGCTGTGCTTCTCTGTATTTGCCTGTTTCTACAGATTTTGAGGTGGTGGTTTGCCTTGTAATCTCAAGTCTCTGATGGATCTAAGAAAAGTCACTGATTTTCAGTTTGATAAGCTTTTTCTTATTGTGATGATAACTTTGAAGCTGTTTATTTGTCAGAACTAAAACTGAAACCATCATTCGATATTTTTTTCTCTCCTGTTCAGTGATTTTCTTGTTAATTTGCTGTTCAGACAGCTGGATTTTATTAACATACTATGTGGAATTCATTGCACTGGCTAGATATAGGGTTTGGTGTCTTTTTAAAATTCTGCAAAGTTTTTAGCCATCATCTCTGTATAATGCCTTTTCCTATTTTCTTTCACCTTTCATTTTGGTTTTCTGATGATTATGTTAAACCAGAGCTTTTTTCAGCTGGTGTACTGTGAATGGGTTACCAATGTGTTGATAGTGATTTTGATAATGATTTGCTGGTTGCCACTAGTTGCAAGTAGCCTTTCATTTATTTGTGTGCTATGCTGTACGAATGCTATTGTTTATGTTCATTATGACATGAAAATTTTGAGTTGTAAAGCATTGTTTTAGACTTCCTCCCTTAATCATGCCTCCTATCCTCTTGTTCATTTACATACATACATAACATATATAGGCATTTAAAAAAATTGCATTTCAGCTCATTTCTTTAGATTTATTCTTTAAACTTTTTTTCAGTTTAAATATCTGTTCAAATTTGTTTAATCTGCTCTTAGATCCATCCATTGTTTTTTCAATTATATTTCTGACCCTCTCTTTAAACTTACTAAGTAAACTACCTTACCAGGTTCTGCAAATACCCTCTAAGAGAAGGCTAGCTTCAGAGTGCATCTTACTTCTTTGGGTTCCTGCCTGCCCTTAGTTTGTAGTCCAGCATTCTATCAGAGTAGAAGTCTAATTACATCTTAGGGTATGTATTTTCATCCTTGTGATTTTATTCTTTTTTTAAAAAAGAATCAGTGATATGTACCAGTTCAATTTATTTTTTATTATCTACAATTAAAAAAAATACATATAACTCAGCCCTGGCCAGTCTGGCTCAGTAGTTAGAGTGTTGGCCCGTGGACCAATTAGTTGTGGGTTCAATTCTGGTCAAGGGCACATACCTGGTTGTGGTTCACCCCTGGTTGGGGTTGTGTAGGGGGCAGCCAGTCGATGTGTCTCTCTCTCTCCCTCCCACTTTGAAGATAAATGAAAAAATATCCTCGAGTGAGAATTAAAAAAACAAACACATAAAGCTCAGTGAATCAGATATGTATAAAACTTGAACCATGCTCCCCCCCCCCCCCAATAAGATTGGTTAGTATTTTGGCCCTGACTTATACCTGGATATTAATCAATATCATGATCAGAACATTAATTATTTGCTCAAATAACATCAAGCTCACTTCCTTAATAAGTGTACTGCCGTTGGTAACCTGAAAAGATACATATATTTTAAAAGTATTCAGCCATCAACTCAGTATTTTATAAACACTAACCTGATACATAATTTTTGCTGGATGGCCTGAAGTTTATAATACCAACTGGTTTACACTCTTATTGTTGAAAATGCCAAAAATGCCATAATTTCACTAATATAGACAAGATACTTTGTATTTTTCAAAAGTTGTCTAGTTTTAACTAAGTATGCCTTTAGTAGCTGAAAGTAGTCTCACTAAAGTTTATATACCACTAACTTTATCTAAACTTTCAAGATAGTTTTATAAACTCTCGTTGCTGTTTCCTAGACACAATACCTCACCCAACAGTCCAGCTCTGATGCTGCATTAACCAATCCTCTAGCAGTAATCAAGCACACCTTTTGTAGGATGTATCTTTTTTCCCCCAGAATGTCTTATACATGGTAGTACTCATTGTATAAGTAAAATTTTTGACAAAGTAACAATGTAGTAGAGAAACAAAACAAAATTCATTCCAGTTGGTTTTCTTTTTCCACATCTCCGATAGAGGAGGTGTTATCAAAGGTCACAAGGAGGAGGAAGTCTACACATTCCAGATCAACAGAGACCTCTGTGCAACTCATTTACTTCTCTATTTCTCCATGATACCTATTTGTCTCACTGATCTTGGTATCATTTGCTGTGCATTTCTAAAATTTTACATTTATGAAAACCTGACTAGCAGGAAATAGTAGACTTGATGTAAGTATTAGTGCTATGTATAGAAATAAACCTTTGTTTCTAGACTTCTGTATTTCATGCTTTTGGCACATTTAGAAGTGAATAGGTGTTCTACAAACCTGATGAGAGAAGCAGTAAGGTTTTCATGCAGAGATACTCTTCATAAGACACCTGAAGCCTGTGTAACTCATTGGAAACAAACAGCATATGTTTACATTGTTCATACATGCAGGGTAGCTTCATTCTCTGCCTGTGAAAGACAAATATCAATGTTTGAATTAGAAATAAATAGTGCTCGTTCCAAAAATGTACATTTTATTTTAGTCTTATTTTGCAAAACTATGAACTCATAAAGGAAAATCTATTGCTATTAATGCTAATTCCCTATAGATCAGAATTTAAGGAAACTGCTTAAAACTTGTTCCTGAGTCTACAGCATATAGAGACCAATGAACAACCTAATTTTACATTGCAGAAGTTGTTTTTCTATCATGCATGATATATATTGTTTTAGTTATGTGCTTAAAATTTATTACTCCTACAGGATATATTACCACTTGCTCATTTAAATCAAGGTTTTATGGTAGCATTTGAATACGTATGGCCAATTACACACAGTTTTAGATCCTACCTATTCAAAAATTAAAAGGTATGTTTTTCACAGCATTCCATTCTTAAGTCAGCTCTGAGTGATGCTGCATATAGTTACGCAGGGGTCAGAACTCGACTCTAGACTTTCTGATATGCCAAATATGCCTCTGACAGACATTATATGACTAAATATTCTCTTAACTAAAGGTACCAAATGAATTCTCAATTAGAATTCTCAACAATCATGATCACATCTACATAGATCCCTAAAGTTTCCTAACTTCTTAAATGACACTAGAGCCTGAATCTGGGCCCAACTCATAGTTTTAAAAATACTTCAAGATCTATTTTTGTCAGTTTTGACAGAAAGTGATCTTGGACTTAACAGAAAAAAACAACTTTTCTCTACTGAAGATAGAGTTCTCTTCTTTATATTACAGTCAGACATGAATGGCATATTGCCACAAAGATGACAGAGGAGCTCTGTGACTCTTCACATTTAAAATCTGCTTTACTATGGAGGCACCTTCCCAATACCCTAATAGGAATTGAGCATTCCTTTTCTGGGAGGTATCTTTTAGTTTCTAATATGTTGTAATTTCAACACAGTTATAGTGTAGTAGAGTAAAAAATCATTCTAGTTGGCTGTTAAAAAAATATATATATATTTTCCACAATTTTCTGAAACCCAAATCTGCCTATCACAGACACCAGAGTAGTGTGGAAACACAGTGGCTAAAAGAATGTGAAGTCAGAATGGCCTCTTCAAAACTATTGTTCAAATAAGCCATTTATCCTCCAAAAGAGCTGAACATACTTTATGTAAGGAATGTATGTGGCATGATCAGGTTATGCTGTGATTGTTTAAATCTAGATGTGAGTGTTGCCAAAATAAAATAAAAATCTCGAATTAAGATTAATTTTATAGAAGAGAAGGATAAATTGGTGTTTCATATAACTCTCCATTCAGTTTTAATCCCAATCAAATGACTTAAAATTGCTTTTTAGACAGTGACTGTAAATAAGCATGGCTGGATTCTGAAATAAGCAAGTACTTAGGGATTTTAAATGTCTTTGAGTTTACATATATTCATCAGTTAATTTAAAATTTGATCAAACAACTTAAATCTTGTTAAACTGTGATGCAGTGGTTTGAACAGTCCTCTTTTTGGCAACAGTCAGTCAAGGTGACTTCCTTCTCTGACACAGGTACCTTAAGAGTGTGTCTGTACGAAGATCTGGTCTGGTCAGTGCCTCTGTGGAGGACAGAGATATGGCCCTTCCTTGGAATACAGACTCTGGCTTATGTATTTCACATTGCTTCTCACTATTAGGCTTGGTCCTTTTCCTTTAGGTCTCAGTTCAAATGATACCTCCAAGAAGCTAATAGCTACCCTATCTGAAATAGACCTCTCCCTAGTAAAAACTCATAATCTAAAATTTTACTTATTTCGTAGTTGTATGTGTCTCCTCCCCTACTAGAATGTAGGCAGTAAAGGTGAGGAGCCTTGTCTTATTCTCTCTCTGCTATAGTACCAGGAAACACAAATTAGGGGTATGAGTATTTGTTGTTCCCCTTTAATCCAGTCTCTCCATCATGTTATCCTTTAAAGTATGTTTTAATTGATTTTTTTTTTTTTTTTTAAAGAGAGAGAGGAAGGGGGAGATAGAAACATCAATGTGAGAAACATTGAGCCGGGACTCAAACTGGGACCTCTCAGTCCATGGGATGATGCTCATCCACTGAACCATACCAGCCAGGCATCATGTTATCCTCTTTTTAAAACCTTCCACAGGCCCCTTGCTCCTAGAATAAAATCTAAACTCTATTCCATGGCCTATAAAATCCTGCTTGACTTGGTCCCTGCCCACTTACCTAAACTCATCCTCAGTGGCTCTCTCTCAATTCCTCACATATGCCAAGGTTGTTTCTAGCCTTTGCATTCATTTCTTCTGCCTGAAATGCCATCTCTTCCAAATAGTTCTATTTAGTGCTCAGCTATTTAGAGAGGTCTTCTATGGTCCCCAAATCTAATGTAGCACATACCCCTCTCTCCTCCCCTCTATCACACTATTATATCATGGCTAGCCAACATAATTTTGGTCATATGGTTTTCCCCCATCAGAATGTTAGCAGGGGCATAATCTATTGTATTCATTATTAGAGCTGAAGCTCCTAATACAGTATCAGGTACTTGGTAGGTACTCATATAGTTATAAATATCACCAATAGAGAAGAAGCAATACCAAGTTTAACTCAATAGTTCAGCCAGTTTTGTATGCAACTAGCCTAATAGAGGGGAAAACCTAAACTCTGCTTTAAAAAAAAAAAAAAATGTTTTTATTGATTTTTTAGAGAGAGAAACATGGATCTGCTGCTTCCCGCATGCCCCCTACTGGGGATCGAGCCTGCCACCAGGCATGTGCCCTGACCGGGAATCAAACGGGACCTCTCAGTCCATGGGTCAATGCTCAATCCACTGAGCCACACTGGCCGGGCAGAATTCTCTCTATTTTTTTTTTTATCCTCACCCGAGGACATTTTTCCATTTTTTGTTCAGAGACAGAGGGACACATCGAGTGCCTGCCTCCTGCACGACCCAACCAGGGCCGGGGACAAACTGCAACCAAGGCATGTGCCCCTAGCGGAAACCGAACCTGAGTCTCTCTGGACCGTAGGCCGATGCTCTAACCGCTGAGCCAAACCAGCCAGGGTTCTCTGCTTTAAATATGCATATTTATCATGCCAGATACATGGTCTTGGAATTATTTCATAGTAGTATATAGTATAAAGAAAATGTGTCCTGAATCTAGAATTACCCTACTACTCGCTCCTTCTTGTACAACAGCTAAGAATTTCCTTTAAAATATCTGGAGCTAGTATCATCCAGTCTCTATTAAAACAAAATAATGTGAGCTTAATACATCATAAGGCAGGCCTTCCCATTTAACACTCAGCTCAAAGATGCTTTTTTATAATTTCTATTAATTACTTTTGTGCCTGGAACACACAAGAGATAAAACAATGTTTGCTTTATCTTCACAGGATCTCTCTTTAGGTTGTCTTCATTGCTTTCATGTCTCCTTTTCACTTTCCTCCAAATATCTCCTGTTCATGAACTGATGTTAATGTCTAAACTCCTTGCCACTCTGGACATATTTAAAGTTATCACTGTTACTTTTAATATGGCATCCAGTTCTGAACAAACTACTGATGATGCTGGACTCATATAGAGTGCTATGGCACTATTATTCTAATAATGTGGTTTAAGAATTCATTACTTTTTTTGAACCCTTGTCAATACTAAGTATCTAGAGCTCACAATTAAAGAAATGTCCATCCTTTTTTCACAAAAATCCCCTTCATTCTTTGCTCAGGCCATAGATGTATGTGTGTTTGTGATTTCATATGTATTCTAATAAAAGAGATAAGCTGTGGGCTTAAAAAGTAGTATTGTAAGGTAGAAAGTGGTAAGAGCTTAGCATACATAGCAGAGAGGTCTTTTATGGTGATGTGAACATCGTGAGCTGAGGGTTGTGTATGGAAATTGGATCTGAGTGGGAAGAGGGGTATGTGAAGGAGAACGAGAAAGTAAGGCCAGGTCTGGAGAGAGAAAATCATGCTGCATGTACTGGTGGTCAATGAGATGTGAACATACTGCGCTTAAGGAAGAAAAAAATTAGTCAACGTGATGGCAGATACACTAGAGGCAGAAAACTAATTAGGAAACAACTGCAATAAGCTAAGGGAATGGACATCTGAAATATTTCACAGATAGAAGCATAGGCCTAGAAGACCAGAGAATGAGCTGGTTTATAAAATCTTCAAGCTTGGTTCTCTCCCAATTAAAAAAATATTTTTGTTCCCATGTTCTTTCCAAGTAATAAACTCTGAGTGAGCCGGGGCATGCAGAGATACCTCTTCTCTCTGGATTTGTACTTCCTACCCTCTCAGCCACGAGGTCAACATGAATTAGGTATCATGCTTTTCCTTACTGGAATAGGATTATGTAATTAAAACAATACACCACAAGATTCCTTTTTACTTGCTATAGCCTTTACTAACACAGAAATGCTCACTGTTTAAGTAATATTGCCACATGTACACCTTATACCTGGCTTGTCTTAAGCACTGATAAACAACTCTATTTCAGGTTTTCCCAGATACCTGGTAGCACTGATTCAGTCTTGAATGATCACAATAGCAGTCCATCGGGAAAATATCAGCTGATTAAAATACCTTATGAATACAGGGGAAATGATTCACAAATGACTTACTCATTAATAATCAAATCAGGAGCAAAACACAGCAGGTTTGCACCTGCTTGTTTGTATGATCTCCATCCCAGGGCAAATGCCATGAGGAACATCCATGAATATTGCAGTAGGATCATTTGGTCATCCAGGTGTAAGTTCCTGAATCCTGAATTAAGAGAAATAAAGATGTGAGAAAAACTAGTTGCCAAAGAGAAGATAATTTCTCTGGAAACTGCCAAAGACCAGATATGAATTAGTCTTGTCTTAGGGGACCTCTAACCAATAGAGGAAATGAAGAACCAAGTGGGCTCAGTTTTCCTTTGTCACATGACATATGAAGATCAAAGCCCATGCATTCAATGTTCAAAAACTTAAGAGCAGTTAATTTTTGTCATCTTTTTCCTACTTAAGTTAATATAAACTAAACAGTAAAAAAGAAAGCCAAGAGTTTTGGCCTGGGACATTATTCATTAATGAATTTAAATGGAAAACTTTCCCCTGATCTTTATACCTCTTTCTCCCTTGTAGGGATGATAGGTCAGTCACTTCAGTCTTGTTCTGTCTCTAGTTGTGTGTACAATTCCCCTCTAACTGTCAAGTTAGAGAAGTTAGAATATTCTATTTTAGTACATTTTAACAAAGTGTCATCACGTCTGATTTTTACCAATTTTAAAAATAACCAGATTATTACAAGTGATACAGTGAAGGAAAACTGAAATCTAAGCAATATTTTACATTTTCTTCTCCCACTTCAGTGTAAAAGGAATTTTGAGTAAATTCTGTAACTCTAGTAGTGATGTTACATCGTCCTATCTGAAATTACTGTGCTCTGAGGAATAATCTGAAAAGCAGGGAGCAGTGTACAACTTTTATTATAGCCTCTCCACTCTCCCATAACTGAGTATGAGAAACAAGACACACCATGGGACCAGGATGACAAAGATTCAGAGTATTTTTGTTTAAGAAAGAGACTCAGAGATAGAGAACAAACTGGTGGTTGCTGGAAGGGGATGGATGAAACAGGTGAAGGGGAGTAAGAGCTACAAACCTCCAGTTATAAAATGAACCACAGGGATGCAATGTACAGCACAGGGAAGAGTCAATAATATCTTAATAACTTTGTAAGGTGACAGATGTTAGTAGACATATCATAGTGATTATTACATCATAAGGTATAAAAACAGACACCTGAAATTCATACAATATTGTATATATCAACTATAATTTTTTAGAAAAGAAAAATACAAAAATGTGTGTCTTCGTTTTGTCATCTTTTGCATTTTACCTGGTATTGCCTTTGCCCATTTCACCGCTGCAATCACTTGCCGTCCACCTAACATGTTGAGGGTGGTCATGATCCGCCAGGTTGTATCTGGAATAGAGCTATCATATCCTGCAAATAACACCTCGGGTTCAATGACCTCCAGCAGTGACACCAGGGTAGGTGTGAGTTGTGGTAATGTTGCAGGAACTACTGTTTTGTTAAGATTTTCGCAAGTTTCTTGTGGGATTCCTGTAGTGGTGGCCTGCTGAATTCCTTTTATCTTTTTCTTTGTTTTTCGAGCTGTGGGTATTTAAAAAATACACAGAAATGAGTTGTGATGGGAAGGTGGAGGTGGCAAAGTTTATTCAGGAGGTATTAGAGAATTTTTTTCTCTGAAAGAAAAGGACCAAGAGAAACCCATTTGTATATTAATTTTTGCTACAAAGTAGTTACTTCTTTGTTAAAGTTATACTTTATACAAAGTAACTACATGTCTTGCAATACTATGTTAAAGCAGTCTAAACAAACCACTTTCATAGATTCATTAATTTCTGTCTCACTTGCACTTCAAAGTCAAAATTTTCATCGTTTATATAAGGGAAATTACTTTTACTATCATTTACATTGAGTAGAATGGTTCCATCTGGTAACGTCATAAGCCTCTTTGCCTTTAAGTCCCCCTTGACTCTCTATACCAAAAATAAAGCTATATTTGGAATGACTATAATATACCTTAAAATGAGGTAAACGTGGGATAACCATTAAAAACCTTATCTATATGAAAATGCTAGGCACTTCAGGCAGTGAAGAAGGCTGCCTTAAAATATTTCTTGAGAATTATTTGGTATGGGGCACCAGTATCAAAATATACCCCTTATAGTACACTTATGGAGAGAATTAGATTCAGAGAGCTGGTGGCTTCTGCAAACTTACTCTGGGTTATCATGAAACTGCCTGGCTTAGGGGAAACACTCCAAGGAACATAAGAATAGTTCTAAAGATTGTAAAAAAAAAAAAAAAACACTATGAAACACGCGGCTCATCTATATTGTTCTTAAGTATTATGGTCTGCTATACACTGGAATAATTAAACACAAAAATGAGCCTTTTACACTAAAATCACACATATGCAAAACACCATTAACTGAGATATTTAAAAGCCTTTCAGTTTTTCTACAAATTATCAACTGCATGATATGTGCTAATATATTATTAAATGACAAACTGGAACTATGTAATCACACCTATAAATCTACTTATATTTAAAAACACACCCATAGTATGCACTAAATAGCTCTCACAGTTAGTCTCTCTTCTATCAAAAGGACCACATGGCTCCCATTCTTCCTCTGATAGCACCATGTCTTGTTAGATTGGTCTTTCTAAAATACAAATCTGATCATGTCTCTGACTTATTTTCACCTAATTCCTACTTAGCTTTTTTAGATTTAAAATGCAATGTTGCTTCTTCTAGGACAGAATTAATCGACCCTCCGCCTCTCTGTGGCTCTTTTCCTTTTGCAGTGTGCCATCCCATTTTGTGATGACTCTGTAAATAAACTAGAATACAGGTCCTGTTGTATTGTCTAGTGCCTGTCTTCTTGGTGAGTATGGCTGAGTAAAAGTGCTACCACAACAAATACTAAGCTATTAGATCACCATCATCACCTTCATGGAACTTGCAATTTCAATTAAAGCAGAATTCCTAATTTTCCGAAGGAAAGTTTTTAAATGATGAGATCAATGTTAATTATACAACTTGTTATATACACAGGAATATGAAAATCAAGCTTTTAACTAATTTCAGGTTTCTTCTTTACTTTGAAAAACAAAACCCATCCAAGGCCACCTTGAGGAGTTCTACAAAAATAACGTTGCTCCAAGTTTTGTAATTATTATAGAATTTCCTTTTTTTAGTGCATAGTCTGGCTATACTGAATTGAGTAATAAGAGCTGGTGAATAAACTTAAGCAAAATATGAAATATTAATTTAAAAACTAAAAACTTCTTTTATTGAGCAGAAATATGAAATTGTGCTCATCAGGCACACATATACTGTTAACTAAATTATTACATCTGCTTATATTTTAAAAAGTGAAATAAATTCTTATATGATGCATAGACAGTTCTCTTCAGGCCTTCACATTACCTTCCAGGTTCATTCCAGCTTGAAGACATTTTCGGTAGCGGCATGCTGGGCAGTTTTTTCTTCGAATTTTATCAATGATACAATCATTTCTTCCAGCACAAAGATAATTGTGCTGTCCTATATGGAAAATAAAGGCACTGTTAAAATTTCACAGGTCTTAAAGATATTTTTTCTGGAGTGACTGTTTTTGTTTTAGGTGGAACAAAGGCATTGATTGAGGAAGGTACAGTGGAGTTGCTTACATTGCCGTTACAATGTTGAAAGGTCTCATTCTATTTAACAAATTAAACATGATTAATTAAAAAAAAACTTTACACAGCATACATATAGAAAAGTGCATTTTCATAAACTGAACGTCTCCATGTAAGCAGCTCTCAGATCAAGAAGCAGAACAACAGTACCCCATAAACACTCAGGCACTCCCCACCAAGGGTAACCTCTTTCTTGATAAATTGTACTTTAAACAGTTTCTTCTTTTAACAGTTACAGGAGATGTCTATAATTCCTATTTTATTATTAGTTCTGACATACTGATGCTTAAGGACTAAAACTGGCTTTACAATACTGCGAAAATCCCAACGAGTCAGTGACTTTCATTCGACATTATGCACCACATGCAAATAAAATGCGCTCCCCTACCAATTTCAAATGAGTGATAGTTTACAATCTTGAAAGTTAAGGTTGCCATCAACTAGTTAGGTGAACACAGACTTGGCAAATTAAACTCCTGTATCTAGATCTTATAGAGAATTGTTAATTATTTCACATCTTATATTTTAGAATATAAGAATGTTTGAATTCACCACTGATCCCAAATATTAAAGACCACTACTGTCTAAAATCTTGTGGTACCCAGGTATACGTAACGTGTTAGAGGTAGAAGTACAATTTTCACTTGGCAAAAGTTTTCACGGAAAAGTTAAAAGGAAAAGACTAGCTATGGCTCAGCAGTTAGTGTCAGCCTGTGCACCAAAGGGTCATGGGTTCGATCCCAGACGGGGTCCAAGCAGGGGGCAACCTATCAATGTATCTCTCTCACATCGATGTTTCTCTCTCCCCACCTCACCCTTCCTTCCAGTCTCTAAAAATCAATGGAAAAAATATCATTGGGTGAAAAAATAAATAGGAAAAGACTGAAAGTCTCCCTGCCTCCTCCTATATGCACAATCCTATAATTTTCTTTTTTATTAGAGAAAGATAGAAACACCAATTGGCTGTCTCCTGTACACCAACCCCTCTGCCTGGGGATCGAACCTGCAGTCTGGGCACATGCCTTGGCTGGGAATTGAACCAGGACCTCTTAGTCCATGGGATGATGCTCAATCCACTGAGCCATGCTGGCCAGGCTCTTGTAATTTTCTTTTAATCTGATTATTGGATGTTGAAGAAAAATACCTGAGGATCTACTGGCCTGGCAAGAACAAAGGATCCTTCTGCACAAGACCAGCGTGTCAAATACACTAGACAACTAAGAGTCTACAAACCTTATACTACAGGAGGTGGTCTTCACAAGACTACAAGCTATTTCTCTTCTCAAAAATAAATTATATTCAGAGGAAAGCGAAAAATTCAATTCACTAGGTTTACTATACCTAGTTTTGATTTTTAGGAAAAGACTCTTTCTGCATAGAACAACTTGAGACTTGCCTTGGCTGAAAACAAACTATATTTACTTCTTCCTGATATGATAAGTCACAGTGCTCTTTAAGCATTCGTTTTGGGTAGATGGTTAACTGTATCAGGTTCAATTCTTTGTGAGCAGTAGGCCACTGAGTTGACTAATGGCCCTGTTCCAGAACTGCTGTCCACTGCCAAATGTCCAAACCAGCTGTTTCAATGCCTTTCTACATTGTGTGTGTTTCCTTGCTGTTTTTCTTGAACATAAAGTGCAAGCATCAATGCAATAATTCTATCCTCTATTAAAGCAAAAGTAGGAACAACAGATGTATCCATACTCGAAGCAGTTATAAAGAATTTCTACTCTATGAGAATATCAACAAATTACTGTCCTGCAGTTAATGAGAAAAGACTTGACAAATTACTCATTGAGAAAAACAGAAAATATTCTAATGCTTTATTTATGTCCAAGCAAAATATAAGGATGTGCATATTGTGCTAATAATGATTTCTTTATCCCAGGTATGTATTAGCTATCTAAGAATCTGAGCTAGAGGATCAGGGGGCACTGAATCTTTAAGTTAAGTTAGTCCTATCTGGTTATTAGTATGAAGTTGGACAAGTCTGTGTCTCATTTATAAAATGAGGAGTGATCACTATTTTACAAGGCCTGGACATGAACCACTAAAGTCAGTCATCAATCATTTTAAAAAAGACAGAGGGATGTCTTAGTTTGGAGTCCCTGGTCTTATACCATTTGGGAAATTCCCTTTCTAACTAATAGAGAGTAGATGACAGGAAAAAGCCTTCAAGCCAGCTAGAATTTCTTTTTCTTTATCCTCACCTGAGGACATTTTTGCATTTATCTTCAAATGGGTTGGGGGGAGGCGCACATCGATGTGTCTGTAAGAGAGACACACTGACTGGCTGCCACCCACATGACCCCAACTGGGGCCGGGGACAAACTGCAACCGAAGTACATGACCTTAGCGGGAACCGAACCCGGGACTCTTTGTTCTGTGGGCCAATGCTCTAACCGCTGAGCCAAACCGGCCAGGGCCCAGCTGGAATTTCTTAACATTGTTTTGTTTGCATCATATTTATTTTTGTGGGTAAATCTATTTTTGGCAAGTGATTCTAGTTTTTATTTGTGGTAGATTTAGTAACCAACCTCCAAGATGGTCCCCAATGGTCTGTGTAGTCCCTTTCCATACTCTATCAGGATTGGTCCATGTGACCAATAAAGTATGGCAAAAGTGTATGTCACATCTGAGATTAAGTTCTAAAGACACTGTTTCCATGTTGGTAACTTACTCTTGAGGATCATTTGTTTTGGGGGATGCCAGCTGTTATGCTGACAACAGTCCTAGAGGAGGCCCACACAGTGGGGAACTGAAGCTTCCTGCCAAAAGCAATGTTAATGGGGTGGAAGTGGAGCCTTTGGATGACAGCAGCCCCAGCAACAGTCTGAATGGAACCTCACGAGTGTCCCAGGACTACCCAGCTACAAAGCTGCTCCCACATTCCTGACTCTCAGAAACTGCATGACATAGTAAATGCCTCTTGTTTTAATTTACTCATTTGGGGGGGGTAATTTGTTATACAGCAACAGATAATACAGTAGGGGATAGTAAAGGTGTGCGTGTTTTTTTTTTAAATAATTTATGTTTAAAAAAGAGTGATCTAGCCCTGGTCTATTTTGCTCAGCAGTTAGAGCCTTGGCCCGCAGACCAGAGAGAGGGGAGTTCTGCTAAGGGCACGTACCTCACTTGCAGTTTGTCCCTGGCTCCGGTTGGGGTTGTGTGGGTTGCAACCAGTCGATGTGTCTCTCTCACGTAATGTTTCTCTCTCTTCCTCCCTCTCTCCCTCCAGCTCTATCTGAAGAGAAATGCAAAAGTGTCCGCGGATAAAAAAGAGTGATCTAAAAAATGTTAAGCCTTGGCTAGTTTGGCTCAGCGGTTGGAGCGTTGGCCTGCGGACCAGAGAGTCCCGGGTTCAGTTCCCGCAAAGGGCACGTACCAAAAAAACCCAAGGACTTTTGCCCTGGCCGGTTTGGCTCAGCGGTTGGAGCACTGGCTTGTGGTCCAGAGAGACCCGGGTTCGGTTCCTGCTAAGGGCACGTACCTCGGTTGCAGTTTGGCCCTGGTTGGTCGTGCGGATGGCAGCCACTCAATGTGTCCTTTTCACATCAATGTTTCTCTCTTCCTCTCTCTCCCTCCCACTCTATCTGAACAAATAATGGAAAAATGTCCTCGGGTGAGGATAAAAAAAAAAAAAAGATAAATAAAAAAAATGTTAATAAATAGGGCAGTGATGCATAGACATGGACAAGATCCTGAAAGTGGTACAGGGAATTGGTAACACAGCAAAGGGCATGTTCTAGGGTTTTTTGCAGTTTGTATACCTTATTTGAAGTAGCCAACTTTATTTTTGTTTTTTTTTGTTAATAATCCTCACCCGATGATATTTTTTCCATTGTTTTTTTTAGAGGGGAAGAGGGAGAGAAATATCAATGTGAGAGAGACACATCAATTGATTGCCTCCCTCACAACTCCTACTAGGACCAGGGATCAAACCTGCAACCCAGGTAAGTGCCCTTGACTGGGAATCGAACCCATGACCCTTTGGTATGCAGGTCGACACTCTGAACCATGCCTACAGTAGCCAACTTTTAAATGTGAACTGTGACGGTCAGGGCACATACCTGGGTTTCAGGCTTAATACGGGGGGCGGGGGGGGGGGGACGTGCAGGATGTGGCAGCCGACTGATGTTTCTATCTCTCTCTAAAAAAATCAATAAAAACATATATTTTTTTAAATTTTAGGGAGAGAGAGAGATAGAAGCATTGATGAGAGAGAACACTGATTGGCTGCCTCCTGCATGCATCCCGCTGGGGATTGGGCCCACAATCTGGGCATGTGCCCTGACTGGGAATCGAACTGGTGACCTCTTGGTGCATGGCTCGACGCTCAACCATCAAGCCACACTCTCTAGGTAATAAGAACATTTTTTTTAAAAAAACCCAGTGTGATATAGTAGAAAGTGCACTGGTAAGGTGCCAGGAAGCTGATGATCTGAATCGCAGCTCTATTTCCTAACTATGTGATCTCAGTAATGTTTATTAACTTTTCTGAGCCTCTGCTTCCACATCTGTAAATCTGGAAAATTAGCACCTGTCTGGCTGGGCTTCTATAAGGATTAAAGGCAGTTGTGTAGAAGGTTCTTCCAATAGTGCCTAGCACATTGTAAGTACTCAATAAATGATAGCTATTAAATAATGCCTGTGTAATAACTTTCATCTCAGAATCTAACTAGATTATAAACTGCCAGGTGACAGATTTTTATCATATATCTCTCAGGGAGTCAGTGTGACACTGAGGTTAAGAGCCTGTTTGGAGATAGCTGTTTCAATCCCAGTTGCCAGCTACACTCTCTGAGCCTCAGTTTCCTAGTCCATCAAATATGAATCATAATAGCATCTAAGAGTTCACGGCTGTTAATTAAATGGTATGATCTTTTAAAACACAATACATGGTACATGGTAAATTAAAAATTAAATGTATTTTTGTACAAAGGGGCTTGAGGGAAAAAGGATCACTGAACTAGTAGTATACATCAAAAGGAATGAAGCTGCCCAAAGTTCTCTTTTGTATGCAGAAGAATGACTTACAGAATATCGAAAAAAAATTCAAAGTAGCTATCCTTGATTTGAGTTGTATGGACAATAAATAAGCCAAACTTCTGCAAATTTTCTAAAAACAGTTCAATGTTTGGGTATTTATTATAATATGCCAATTTTTGGGGAAAACTTAGCACTCCATTTATAACACCTGCTACAAAATGATAAGTGTAATGCATATCATACGACCTATATCTTCATAATTTTTAAAAGGTGTGCCAAAATATGCATCTGGGTTTTAAAACATTTCCATCATATCTAGATAGGTTGTCAAAGGACTACAGAATTTTAGAGCTGAAAGGGACCTTGGAGAACATTAAAATCCAAGTAAAGGATTTCCTTAACACAGTCCACATTTAAACCTCTTCTTATTAACCATGTAATCTAGCCATCACACTTAACTGAACTATTTGAATGATAAACATTTTGAAAAAGTAGAGCTAATATTTAATTAAATTTTACCCAAAGACAAATATAAGAATTTAATTCTAAAGCAGAGATTAAGATCAGAGGGCATATAGCTTGCAGTGAGAAGTATATTTAGCTTTCTTTTTAAATTGCATTTGGATGCTTTTAGGTAGGACACGCTTGACTTTGTAATAGCAATAGCTGCCCTCCTTCCCCCAGTTGTATTATATTTGGCCAGAATGACACAGTGGGTCCCTGCAGGCATTTGAATTTGCAGCCCTGTTTTAAAGAATATTTTAGTTAAAATGGAGAAAAATGAAAAAATAATTTTTTTAAATACCCTATTTCTTTTAAGGCTCCACAATCTCACTCTCACTTTCACTTTCAGAAATCAATTTGTTGATATTATTTATGTACAGCAATACTGTACTTCTGTTATCACTGCATTTATATCATGGAAATAACTAACCAGTTAAGAAAGTGATGATTCAAGTAAAGTGAGGAAAGAAGAAACTTCCTTCTCTAGGGTTTGCTGTAAATACTTTGTTAGAGGCATTTCATTAAGCAAGGGTGGGCTTTACTCAGGACTGTACTCAATAGCTGGGAGTTACTAACCCAGTCAAAACCTGCTTCCCTATGCTCTAAGCGGGTAGCGAGTAATTTTATAGTTTGCTAATGTATTAAAAAAGTAATCCAAACAAAAGAAAATGACTCGTCTAAGTCTTAAGGATGCAGACACAAATCTAGCCAAATGATAATAATAATCCTTCTCATACTGTGAATGAACAATTATTTCTTTAAAAATTAATATAATCAGAGTAATCGTTAGGTAATAATCCACTCACTCAGGCCACACTGCCTTCAAACTGCTTTACAGATGACTGAATTACATCATTTTTCTCAAGAGTATTCACTGGCAATATCAGAAAATTTTAGTGACTTCCAATAATAATTTGCTATGGAAGGAATTTCTCCTTCTTTAAAGAGCTGATACTCTTGTCCTTGTCAGCAGGCTGAGTGTACACCAAGGGTCAAGTTTATATTAATACAGTATTTGTAAAGTCAAATCACCATCTCCAAAATACCTTTTCTGACCTCCTCGGGCAGTTGATCACTTGCTCTTCTGTATTATAATCTCTGTACCTTGGTAACTCACCTTTCACCTGAAGTAGACTGTGACCTCCCAGAGGGCAGGGATCAAGTTTCATGTTGTGTTTATACCAGTGAGCACAGTGCCCTGGCCCAATAGCAGAACAGCGTTTCCCCCTAGTTCTGTCACTCATTTTTGCCAGGCTGAAACAGTTGGTGACTTTAAAAACAACTAATTTATAGGAATTAAAGCCCATGACTCTAATACAATGAGTACTGCTATTGCCCGAATCTAATACCGTTATTTCTCATGATGCCACTTCTTACAGTTACCTACTGTTCTCTGACCAAGCTCCTTCCTTTCAGTTTACACTTCTATTTTATTCTAGTTGTTTTATGTTGCTTTTCAAAATATTTCTTTCCCCCTAAAGACCCTCCTCTTCCCCCTTTACTGACTTTTAGCCTTAATAAGCTTTGCCTATAACAGAAATTTCAAAATCCACCCTGAGAAATAAGAACCAAATAGAGGGAAAATAAAACTCTTCAAAACACACACTACCTTCCACTGCTCTTTTGAAGAAGACTTTACAGCTCCCACAGGTCAAGACTCCATAATGACATCCTGAAGCTTCGTCAGAGCACACAAGGCAGAGTTTGGGGGGTGGTCCCGTTGCTGCTGAGCTGGATGAAGGAGGAGAGCTTACATCAGGTCTCATTCCAGGGCTAAAGAAGGAAGAAAGCAGTGTTATGATTTAGCTGTCATGACTGTCAAAGAAAAACAGTAACAACACATCAAAATATAGTTCTCTTAGCTTCTCATTCCACAGTGAGCATGTTCACACTGAACTCTGGCCTCAAGTACCAGCAAGCATCAAAATATGCTATCTAACTATAGTCGAATAATTATTTTGTTCTTTTATACAAAATTAAGATCTAATCTCTTAAGTATCCCATAAAAAGTTGTGTTTCACTTAGAAATTACAATGTTGAGTTGCTTAGAATTTGTTTATACTTATAACCACCTTTATTAAGGTGTCCTTTATCTACAATGACACTCATCATTTATAAGTACACACTAGATGAGTTTCATTAAATAGATAATTGTATAACACCACGATCAAGAGATAGTATATGTCTATTCACTCCCCAAAGATTCCTCCCACCCCTTTAATTGCTTAACAGTGGTTTCAACCTTCCTAAATGCTGCGACCATTTAATACAGTTACTCATGTTGGGGTGACCCCCGGCCATAAAATTATTTTCATTGCTACTTCATAACTGTAATTTTGCTACTGTTATGTCTTAGGTGACCCCTGAGAAAGGGTCGTTCAACCCCCAAAGGGGTCGTGACCCACAGGTTGAGAACCGCTGGCTTAGAACATCAACCCCCCCCCCTATTTTATTATCTCGTGCAGGCATCTTTTATAAATGCAGTTAAGTCTCATTACAATTCCACTCATGTCCTCCACTTGAGTTAAAACTTCTTATGAGAGTTTGGTCCTACATCTCTCATTGCCAGTGTCATCCTAGCTGAAACCAGGGTTTCTTATGACTCACAGAAGACTAATACAGAAGCATTCCTTTCCATAACTTTCTTGTCTGGCTTGCAGTACAGCTGGAAAACGCACTAGGCTTTCAATAGTAAGGACCCTCTGCCCTCCCACTCAATGTGCCCTGAAGAAAAAGATGGAGAATGGGAATCTGGTTCTCCTACTAGGTCTCATTTTTCATTTTGCAGACTTTTCACCACAATGAGTGCAGGTCTAGTATTTTAAGACAAACATTCTTTTCCTAATTTTTGTTTTTGGGAAAAAACCCTCAAAAAAACTTAAAGAATTGTACAGTGGATATATACTCTAATTGTACTCACTATTTGCTTATAAAAATATTTATAAACCAGCAAAATAGCAATCCTTTTAATGCTAAAGGAAAAATGAACTATAAAGCACTTCATAATAGATCATACAATGCTTTCCAATGTTGTATCTTCCTAAGGAATTTTGATCTTTCCTGCTAACTTTAGAACCAAACTTATTGTATTATATTGTACAACTCAAAAGTTTCTAACCTTGTAACTTTCTGTAACTAAAAGACTCTCTAAAAAGAGTATCTGGAGACTGCCTATTCCTTTTCTGGTTTTGTGTTTTTAAAAAATATGAATGGTGGCAATCTGTTGATTGTGGAACTATACATATTAAAGTGTGTTCCACAATGATTTATCACCTATATAAGTTCATAAGAATACCATTACTTCTCTCTAACATAAAAATAAAAACGTTAAAATATATTTTTATTGTTTTTTTTTAGGGAGAGAAACATGGATGTGAAAAGAAACATCAATCAGCTGCCTCCTGCACGCCCCCTACTGGGGATCAAGCCCACAACCCGAACAAGTGCCCCAACAGGGAATCGGACCAAGATCTCTCAGTCCACAGGACAATGCTCAATCCACTAAGCCACACTGGATGGGCTCTAAAATTTTCTTAACTTGCCTACTCTGTTAGCTGTCCCTTTGTTGTTCTTTATAACTGCAGCCAATAACAGTACAGCAGGTCTTCAAATAATGTCATTTTGTTCAATGTTGTTTTGTTATGTACATCATTTCACTTAAAGTCACAGAAACTATGGATGACATTAAGTGAGGACTCAGTGTATTAAATCACAATTACAAACATGCTAAAATTCACAGAACTAAAGAAATTGTTTTGACATGGTTAGAACTATATTTATGAAGTGACATCTTTGTCCTGTTTTAGAAATAAAAGTGAAAAGGTAATTATAGAATGACAATTTGTTTTATAAATGTCACTTTTAGTAATTAGGCCTCTAAACCCAAAAGTTCCCCCTAAATTCTGTCCTCAAAGGAAGCTTACTGCACCTTGCCGACCCTGTTTGTCTAAGAGGCTTAGCCAACAAGACAGCATTCCCACCATCCCAATTCTGGGAATAGGACCCAGGGTTTCATACTGTTCTCTGACGACTGGGAAGAATTTCTGGATGCTTCCACACCACAAGGTATTGATTTCCTACTAGCTCCGAGAGAGTGGACTGAGTACACAGTGAAAGCCTACAATGAGGAGATAACCTGAAAGGACTCTGCTGTAGGTGTGGATGAGCCACCCTTGATCAGCGAGAACTTGTGTGACTACAGTGGGGAGCTGCTCTGGGCCAGAGTTGTACAGAGTAGGAAGGCCTTGGAGTGAATGAACGGAGCAATGTGTTATAAAGATGCTCCTATTCCTGCTCAGCCAATCTTGTCATCTGACATCTATTTTTAGGGACCAACCAGTTGTTTGTGTACTTAGTTTATGGAAAATAAATGCAATATTTAAATATTTGAAATTCTCATGTAATACATATATGTATTTAAATTTTTTCAAGTATTTGTAGTACTTTCTAATTTTAAAACACTTTTATGAACAGAATCTCACCTTCCCTCTCAACAACCCTCTAGAGGAGTTCATGCAGTAGGAGGAGGTCGATGAGGGAGCCTGTCTGTGATCAAAATGACATGCTCTACCACTTAAAAAGCTTTGAGCCTCAGTTTCCTCATGAGTAAACTGGGAAGGACGTCATGGTGTGTGTGTTGTTGTGAAAAGAGGACATGTAGAAAGTCAAGCACAGAGTTCCTGCAGCTAGCTGGCACTCGATAACTGTTTATTCTTTTCTCTTTCAGCAAAACTGGAGATTTTATAAAAGGCATTATACATGTATTATATAAGTAGAAAGTAATATTAAGTCTAAAACCTAGAATAGTATTCCCAAATTCTCACTTATAAATTAGATCATCTGCAAAACATGTTCAGGCCACTGAACTGTAAGCTACAAATAACAAAAGGTAAAGTTAAAACTAAATGAACAAATGGATTGATAGCACTGTAGCTAAGAATCTGGAGCTTAAGTCAGGCTTTTGGTATCCCTTCAGGCAGTCATTCTGGGCTAGTACATCAGATAAGAACTGAGTACGTGGAAAGTTGCCAAGTATACCACAGACATCAGTGGGAAAAAAATCAGTTTTTGTCACACAAATATGAGGACTATGATGGCCTGTAATAAACACCATTAGGAGAGTTGGATAAATGCAAAATGGTATTCACTTGCAAACATAACCCTGTAATACTGCTAACAGGGCTAGGGTACAAGAAAATGGTTAGAACTGAAAGGAAAACCATATGGAATCACCATTTTTTAATGATACATGACAGAAAGACATAAGCACACCATAATTTAATAAATGCATATTACACTCTCTTTGCATGAAAAAGCTAAAATGTTATGGTCTTTGCTCAATGTGTGTTTACAGCCATGCCAAACATTCTGAAGATGCTGAGGTTCTGTTAAAACTGACTACATCTGCGGTGCTTTCTTTTAAGTGTGAAGACTCATAGGAACAAAAAGCTTTGTTCCAGGTATTACACTTGAATATGTTTCCCATTCGGAATGGATACTGAGTTATTCCTAAGGCTACTAAGTTTATAAGAGAAAGAACATGTGTAAAATAGGGTTTTTCTATCTAATTCTCTTGTTAAAAAAAAAAAAAAAAGCAACCGATGGAAGGAGGATCACTGATGGACAGTCATGGATGGATTGTAAAAATTAATCACACACCTTGAGAAGTAAAATGTGCAGGTAAATCACATCCTTTCATTCAGCACACACTTCCTGGCACCTGAATGTACGGTGAGCACACAAAGGTCATATCTTATAAGAAGTCATGTGATGCATGAAATACACTACTGGAATGGTGATGAACCTTGTAACTCTGATCTAGGTAGGAGAAGCAGAATATTTTTTAGCTGCCTCTGTGTCATAGTACTACTAGGCAGAGAATCAGCTACATGAACAGACAAATCTGGTTTCAAATCCTTACTCCAGGGTTCTAACAACTATGTACCACAGTGGTTAGCTGACAACCCCTGAGTCTGTTTCCTTATTAGTACCATTTTAGGAATTTTTGTGTGGATGATATATCACATTTATATAAAGTACTGGGCACACCCTTGGTGATCATCAAACAATACTCTTTTATCAACCTCCTACCCCATTCACTTCTTTTTTCTCCCTCCCCAATTCCTCCTCCCCTTCTGGAGTATCCTAGGGGAAGAGAAGTGCTATAAATAGCTAGGGGAAGGTTAATGGTCCCTTAGAAGCTTAAGTTTAGATATTTTTTTATATTACACCAAAAGTTGACAACTTATTTTTGTAAAGATTAGTGTTCCAATGTGGAATCTGAAACCATTATCAGTGAACTTTTTGTAACTCTTACATTAAAATCCATTGGTCTGCCTTGCACTTTGAAAGGATCTTTTACTCATGCATGATTTTGTACTATCAAGCATTAGTCATTTGGGAAATATTGGCTCCCTGAGTTATGCAGACCTTCCAAGTGTTGACACAGTTCATTACACAGTATAAAGGAGTCACATCTGTCAGGCTGACAGTGGCAGTTAATGTCTTGCAAAGTTCTAAATTTTGTTTGAAAGTTCTAATTTTTATCAACTGGCAACAAATACTGTCAGTTGTCTTCCTTGAAGTGATAAGCTCACTTCAGTCATTTCTGAGAAAACGTGCCAAATAAGCAAGTCTTAGAACTGTAGTTTGTCCATAGGATGCCATGAAAAAAGGGGCCTGCTCAGCTCCCAACTTCATCTCACATGTGCTCCCCTCTGAGACAGCCGTCAGGTGCTACATGCAGCAGTGAGGGCTTTCTGCCTCTTCCCATT